AAACCTCTGTTTAATGCACACCTATTACATATTCTAAATTGAAATCTTACTTCATTTCCCTTTTCCTAAATATTTTCCAGAGAACTTTGGTTTTGTTATGCATTACAAAATTAATCAATTTTTTTATGTTTTAAGGTTCTGCATGATCTACATCAGATAGAGAAACAGCAGCACATCGTTCTCAACTCGACTAGTAACTGACTTGGCCTCGCGTGTGCATTTGTAGCTCAAGAAACTTGTAACATCAAGGGGGTAACTTCACACGCGGCATTTTCAAGCCCCCTAAATTTACCAAAGTACCATTCAACTACTGGAATGCTGATGACTCGAGTAATTGGACAAAATATTGTCTACAGTGACCAATATTTCAAGTTTGGTCAGAGTTTAACTGGTACAATTTCTACTTTCCATGCAGCAAATTTAAGTACAATTATGCTGTCAAGTTCACAACACAAGAAGTCTATACAACAAACAGGCTACATGCCCATATTTAATTCATTAAGAATGAAGTATGGAATCTATCCTGGGATTTTAATGTCTGAAAATCAAAATGAAAATCAAACAGCAAAAGTTAAAACTTCTCGGAGTATGAAACATTGGCATCAAATGCTGCCAATTATAAAATGTATTGTGCCAAATGAAATTGCTGAGGGAAGGAATGTAATTTTGGGCAGGAGAGAATGTGTAAGCCTGGATTATGAACTGTCACCTGATGAAAATCATGTAATGAATATTGTTCATAGGGACACAAGAAATGTGTCGTCGCGGATTTCCTTAGGTGAAAAAAAGGCAACACAAGAACTGGACAGAAAGCATTCAGTTATTGAAATGCCCTCAACAAATATGGAATCATTTCTTAAAAAGAATGTTTCTGTATTGATAAGAAATGAAAAAGACACTGATCTACTTCTTCCTTTGTTATCAGGATCTTCCAGTGTGTTAAGCCATGAATGCGGAAGACAGACTGATCGAAACAGAGACTATCAGGGGTCAGAAGATCATAAAAACCCAATACATTCAAAAATACCTATAGTATCTAAATCTTCTGGTTTTTATTACAGTTCATCTTTCTCCTCATCCAAAACAAAGTCAAAAGGAGGATTCAAAATGTTTGATATCTCAGATTATGAAATTCTGCCGGAATCAGACGGCTGTGAAATTGCGCAGAACTGTGATCCCCTTGAAATTAATAGGAATGAACTGCCAAGAACCTTGACCGTACCAGGTCATCGTGTCTTGAAATATGATCGTGCTCCGAGTTCAAGTCCTACAAATATTCGAGACTCATCATTTTTATCAGATGAGCCTTATCCATTACCTGAGGCACCAAGTTTGATCCTATTAGAGCCACTTCTTCTTATGCAACAGGATATTAGAGATGGAAGTAGGTCAACCATAGCAAAGAAGCGGAAGGAACAGATGACTCACTGTGAGCAGCAGAGGGTAGCTCGTATCATGATCGGATACACGCTTGCTTTCTTCCTTCTAGCCATTGTGACATTCTATGTGGTGTACTTCATATAGTGTCATGATGAGACAGCATTGTCAGGTTTTCATTGCAGTAAGTCAAGAAAGGCTCTCTCATATCTTAATGAAATACAGAGTTAAGAAACTTTTATATCTTCCATAGTAGAGTAGATAGATGTCAGTTTCTTGTGTTGCGTTGTCAGAACCCATTCATCACGTTGCCTTTTCTTTTCAGCAAACATCGAGCATAAAAATAATTTGTTCCTCTCTATTAGATATATTTATTTCAAAGTTCCTAGTGTACGATTTTATTTGTTAAATGTTAGGGTAATATACCGAAGGACATAATCATAGGATATGTCTTTCTAACCTTGTCGTGAAGGTACTTTTGCTGGTTGGCCCCCAGAGCTGGTCTCGATATTGTGGCACCAAGAAAAATCCTACCAGAAATTGAATGCTGGGTGTACAGCCCATAGCTTAGTGATTACACTATCTGAGCTATCGTAGTTCCTGGAATAATTTAATAGCAGGTTAAAGTTAACTTTTTTACATGTTAATAACTTTTTTGCCATTTGTCACTACCGCAAAATCTCTTGAAGGCGTTATTACGACTGGTTATTTTATAATATTTTTATAAACGCAGTGTACAGTAGCCTTGGTAAATGACTCTTAAGTTCATGTAACATCTTTGTCTCAAATTGTGTAACTGTTTTTAGAACCACATTAATTATGAGAGCAACTTTTATTCCTCAATGGTTATACCGTTCTTTCATGATTTACTGCAAGGAAAGACTGGCATACAAAAATGATACAGAAGGAAAATGCAGATAAATATTATGAGCATAAACTCAATTTCTTGTAGTCATCACATATTTTCACACATATATTCATGTTACTTCTTACTATTTATTTTATTGTGCAGTGCAGGATTGTTAAAATTATGTAGCTATTTTTATGACAAAATGCATATAATTATATATTTTGCATGTAGTTCTAATAGATCACTTGAGACATTTTATAATTTTAATTCTAGAATCTTCCTCTATTCATCAAATTTACCAAGTAATATGTTTTCTTACCAATGAATAATAATTATAATCTTTTAAAATATAAAATTAAATCTTAGCATTTCCTGATGAAGTTTTGACAACCCAGGACCATTTCAGTTACATATACATATATATGCAGTTAACTTCAAATATTGTAACTGTTCTACACGGTAAACTAGTCACATAATAAGAAATACAACTAAGATATTGAAAAAATAATTTTCTTTTTTGTAATCTTTCTTCTATTAAAGATAATATCATTCTGAAATTTTTAATATTTGTGTATTGTTTCCTGCATATTCAAATGAAATAATATGGTTTATACCCAATTTATTTTTTATTGGAGGTTATGTCTAGTTTTAAGTCTTTACATTAGCAGCATAGAACTTTATACCAGTGAAGGATTCTAACCTCACACCCATCTTTATGCTGGCTAAATTTTAAGATAGGAAAGAGACTAAATCAGTGGTTACAGATTCCTAGCAAAATAAATAGATGTAGATATAGCAATTTAAATTGTACAATTAATCAATCTTTAAACAATAAAAAGAGGTAACATTTAAGATAAGTATAATCAATTTTATTCACCGTCTTTACACAAGCTTCCAGAAGAAATGTTATAATTTTATGTGATTTTAACAATATATAAGCTTGTGTAAAGACGGTGAATAAAATTGATTATATTGAAGAACACAAGCATGACGCAATTAAGATATAAATTTAAGATAAGATCAATAAAACTGAGACAAACATTAGATTCAAAAGCACAAGAGATTTGGCAAGCCACTAAATATTAATGAAGGCAATGAATTTATACAGCATGAAATATATACTACCAAACCACTAGGCCCAGAACCCAGTTTTGATGGTGATAAAGTTGTTATTGAAAAATTGAAAATGTTATCTCCAAGTATAGATATAATTCCAGTTTAATTAATTCAAACATGCAGAATACTGTACTCCAAGTGGACACTTTCAAGAAAGAATAAGCTTATTTTTCACCAGTTCTTTAAAGCCTCATATTAAAAGCAGAAAAAATGGGAAACTGAAGATATGTTTTCAAAATGATTTGTTACAGAACAGAAATAAATAAAAATATTATTCCTGTTAACCTGTTTTCAAATTATTCATCCAGTTTACAAAATTTCTTGTATCTATCTTACCAATGTAACAGTGAGAAAATGTTTAATTATAGTGTTTTATGGACTTCAAAGGAGAAATTAAATACTAATTGATCAAACCTAGTACTGTAATAAATTGGCATGTTATTGGAAAGACTGACATACTATTGGAGCCTCTGATTTTCTGAAGGCACCAACTGAAGTGTTAATGGTGATGCCAAGGTCGTTGAACCTTCAGCATCCAGTGATAGCTTGTTCGTTCTGTTTCAACAGATTCTGAAACTATAACACCAGCATTTAACCATGTCACTGTTCTATTTTCCTCAGATGTGTCCATGTTGTCACAGTTCATGGTTGAATGCACACAGCCATGCGGTCACCGGTGACTGTATTTGCGTACAGTGCCATGAACTGATCTCATTTGAAGAACCCTCATATTAGAAACCCTCTACTTCTGCTACCTGTTACGCTAGCCCTAAGAAAACTTACTTTGATGGTGAAGATACTGAATGCAGACTACGTTCACTTCTCATCAAAGGTCCTCAGGGTAGTTTCCAATGACTGCTGGAACCGTGTTCCATGACATGCACTTTATATATGTAATATCATTGATGGCATGGACTATTAAGGAAATTATGTAATGGAAACTGCTCTGCGCGTGCTGGAAGAGAAAAATAAAAAAAGTGAACTGAACATAACGCTAAATTATACACATTTAAAATAAAACATTTTGAGGCTGTGAAAAAAATATTACCAGAAAAAATTCTTATACTCTAATGTTACTAGTGTAAGTTAGTTGCTTTGCATGACAGAATACAAAATATAATCCCTAACAAATCTGATCTAGAAAATTAAGTAAATGATTCCTCAGAAATATTAAACTACAAATTATAGAATATAACTAAGTATTCAAGGGAAATTTAACATACCTTTGGTGCTCAGTAAGAAGGGCTTAAATCAGATGTAATGTGTATAGACTTAATCCGTGTGAGAGTGTGTCTGCTTTTCACAAAATAACATTTTCTCATTATTTATCTGAATTATAATTATTACACATAATCTGCATAATTTTAAACACTAAGCAAAAAATAAATCCCAGATACAGGTACCATATTAAAGGTAAGAAATATACACAAAGAAATGAAATATTTAACGTAAGTCAAACATAATTCTCAGAGGAGGGATTGTTAATGTTGGCTAACACACAGCTCAGTGACGTGTTTTCCCTCATTAGCTATGAAAGAGTGGACACTGTTTCAAAGATTATTAGTCAGATGTCATATGACCATACCTCAGATTTAATTTTGCTCAACTTTGAATAATTAGTAAAAAAAATTAAATGCTAGTAAAATAAATTAATTGATTTGAGTTCATGCAACTCCTTTATTCCTTCTTTGCAAGACCTTTTCTTACATCTTCATTTTACAATGAAAAATATATTTCATTGTATTCCATATATTTTTAATTATACCTTAATTTACAACCCTATGATTTATTTAGCCCCTGTGTTAAACTAGTTCAGAATTATAGTGTAGGTGAGGCAGTAAGATTTATGAGGAGCCAAAGACCCCATGACCTGCTTCCGAGGCGAACTGTAATAATAATTTCATCAATAAAGCATATTTATTTATGATAGAACAAAACACAGACAATATTTTCCAACATTACAGGTATTTTACATCAAATTTTTAAATACTCATATTTACTTTGAATTTCTAACAGAAGAATTTTAGAATTTTCATGATGACATGAGCACCAGCTCTGACAAGACATAGGCAGACGGAGATGCTTAGTTGTCAGATGACCCACATATCGTGACGTCTTTGGTGGAAGAAGCAGAAGAGGAGGAAATTAAATACTGAACAATGTCCAAATTCTGGCAATACGGTGTATATTTCGCTAATGGCAAAAGGTTTATCGAGTTCCTCCAAAGAGATGCATAATTTTAGGACCCAATATCTCATACAACTTGTTTGTCAGTTTTCACTTAAATAAATTAAAATTCAGTAATGATTTACAAGCTTTCTGCATCTTTATCCCACTCCAGTAATACATTCATGTTGGCAATGTTGCGTGTACTCCAGGCGTCAAGTGGATCTGGAGGCGAAACAGGTGGATCTGAATTGCCATTCACTTCTCGCTGAACACTAGGCACTGTCGCAGCTGACCCAATTCTTCTGATGGAGCCGGTGGTTGAGGGAGCAACCCTAAGAATATATCAAGGCAAATTTACAATATAAAATCTAAATTAAAAATGAATAACAGTGAAGTTTAATTCAACATTATGATCATGTACTAAATATCACCATACCATTTTCAGGAGATCTTTGGTATGGAGGTGATCCAGTCAAAGATGGCTAGACAATGTTGTTCTTCTGGGTTGTGATGTAAAGTAGACTCATAAGTAGAGGTACCAACATTTCAAGAAAAAATACCTTCTCCATCTTCAGGGCTGAAGATGGAGACAGTATTTTTGTAGTTCATAAACTTTATTCAGTGACATTTAATTCCTTTAGGAACTTTGATTATTACCTGTTAATGCGCGCTGTTTTTGGCCTTGGTCGTGGATGAATGCTGGAATGTTTCTGAGCCAATACCACCTTTTTGTTCTCACTCTGTACATCAGATGCATCTGTTATCACAGAACCTCTCCGTTTCTCCTGAAAAATGATTGTTAAGTCGTCTGTTTCATATTCAATGATTTGAATTCTATTGTAAAACTTGTAAAAAACATTCTACTAAAATGTATTCCTACAATATAATGTCAAATTACCCTACAGAAGGGTAAAACAAAAGAATAACAGCTTAAATCCAGAATATGATTTGATTATTTTTCCTCTCCATAGAATATCTCCAAATATTCTTAAGCTTGCTTAAAAATAAAAATCACTTCTTGGGATTCTTAAACCACATCTTATCTGCATGGTGAGTTACCCCATGGCAGAAAACTCAAATTGATAAAATAACAGCAATCAGTAAAGTTGATGCTTATATAAAATTAAGGAAATCACTCTAGCTGAATTATCAAGGTGGTCTAGCGGTTAGAACGCCGGGCTTGTAATACTGGGGTCCCAGGTGCTCAGATTTACAACTTGTGTTGGGCAAGGCTGTGGTCCAGGCATAACAGAGTTTTCCTCCGGGGTTTCCCCGGTTTCTCTGTGGCATCCCAACAATTACTACACTCTCATCATCATCTCGCAAAAAAAGTGGGTCTCACAGCAGGAGCGTTAAATGTTGCCGATCGAACCCATGTACTGATGGGTCGTGAATCCTGCTAACCACCAATGCATACCATGCTGAACGATGTGTACTGGACACAAAAAAAATCACTGAATACTCAAATGCAAAAGTAAAATGAAATCTGTCAACATAGAGTATTACTGACATTTTCAGAGGACTGCATATTTCTGACGGATCTTGCATCTGCAATGGGCCTGGACCGATCCTGCACAAAGGTTGGGTTAACAAGGCCACTATCTGAAGATGTATTTGAACCGGCGTCCTCAAGGTGCTGAAATAAAAGCAGCTGATCTTGACTGGTACTTGTCCTGCCTGATTTAGCACTGCGTAACCTGGATGAATGTGCCCTTCTGATGCGAGAAACACGACCCAATAGCGGTCCATCTGTAAGAAGCGAGAGTGATGTGCGTTAAAAATTCATATCATTGTTTTCTAAAATAAACAGCATCGATAAAAGTCCTGTTGTGAGTTCAGTTAAATAAAACCTTTCTGCAGGTGACTATAAGAATTTGAAGATGGCTGTCTTCTGGGTTGTAGCGCCACGTAGTCTCGTAGAAGTTTACCAACATTTCAGAGGTCCTTGCTGCCGCCATCAGGGTGATGAGTTTGCCAGAAGACAGTCTCTTTGAAGTCACTGTTACGAAAAACTCAAATCCTACTTATAATGAAGGTAAGCAATTCAGGTGTCAAAGTAAAACATGTTTACAAACTGTAAACCATAAAATTATGTTCATCATTTAAAAAAAAAGCAAGATTGAAGTCTTTAATATTAAAATCATAGGTATCACCTTAACTGATGTGGTTTGAATAAACAGTTCTACTCAGACGCATGCCCCCATACAGTCCAACTGTCGATATCACACTGAACGACACATGCACAACACAGCGGTGGGTCTGGTAACGAACTATTCAAAACCACCAGGTATTTCTGTCAGACATGTACAAATCCAGAGCTTTATCACTATTATCAGATTTTACCAACAAAACCACAGAAACTTAAGATACATAGATCAGACAGTGTTCAGATAAGTAAACTCCTGAATACGAGAGACTTACATGGGTTCATTCTCTTTATTCTGGAAGGAAAGTTTTATAATCAACAGGTTATTTGAATGTCAATCTCTTGCACGTTAACCTACCACGAAGACCATCGCTATCACTGGGATCTAGCTCGGTGGCTTGTCGCAGTCTCTCGTTAAGTGCCTCCTGCGACAGTGAGAGGCAGCAGTACTTATGTTGCTCTCTGAGAGACACCTCCTCTACTCCATCCATATTGGCGGCTGCTGCTGCTGCTAGCTTCATCAGCTCGGATTCTGGTACATGTGGCAGTTCTGAAGCTAATACTAACTGACGGAGATGGTCTTTATCTGAGCGGTCAACTTCCAACTTGGGATAAAGCGATGGAGTTACTAGTGTAGGCAGCTCAGTTGCCTTCTGCGGTAACGTGTTAGTGACGCGCCCGCCTAGATGAACAGGAATTATATTTCAAAATCTAATTTTTTATGAATATCCCAGCCAGGGAATTTCCTAGCCATTCATGAAGATCAAAGGTCAAATTCTGACAACCAAACTAGAATTGTTGTCCAAGGCAAAGAAATATAAAACATAGTACCTGCTGCCTCGGCTGGTACACTGAGAGTTGCCGACATCATAGCCGGAGGAAGGGACGGCGCTGGGACTGGCACCTGTGGCGTTCCTGGTTTTGTTAATGGCTGCGTAGGTACGCTCAAGTCCAGATCATTAGTAAATGCCATCACATCCAGCGCTGCAGTCAGAGCATCCCCAAAGCCAACAGTTGGATCTGGCTCGGTCAGAGAATCTGGACTGCAATAACATCCAATACTTTATGGATTCTCTTCGTTCACGAAGCATATTCAGTAAAAGTAAACATGTCAAGCATGTAGCAACAAAATGCCAATAGCAAGGGAATTTACTGTGAAAGCAGTTCATACAATGCCTGTATTTTTTACAGCACAAGAATAGATGGCATCATCCTAATGGTGCAGGCAGCAAGCAACTGTTAAACGTAGGTACGCTTCTAACAGACTTCATGGTGCAACAACCCAGAAGACAGAGATCTTCATAACATCAGAACACCAACAAGGAATAATGTACATACAAAGTCACATAGTTTAAATATTTCACTGTTATTAGTGTAATGACTGGTGGTTAGCCATCATTAGTTAACGCTCAGGATTTTGTATCTAAATATTAATAACAAATCTTAGTATGACCACCAGTCACTTAAGATGGAAGTACAGTCAGGATGAGCAGTCACCGAACCCAATACTGGCGACATGAAACAGGAGTTTACTATTAAAGGAATTTTACATTTATGTGTGGAGTACTGGAACTCACCTTGCAGGAATTCGTACTGGAGTAGAAATATCTGCTCGGTCCCACATCAACCTTCGCAGTTCCTCGCCAGTTATTCCTCGTTTCTTGAGTTCTCTAATTGTCACCTTCCCAACACGCTGAAATTTAATTCCTCTGTAGATTATAACAGCTGGACAATTTCAAAAGTTTGCTTTGAGAATGCTGAAGTGACGAGACAACTCAGGAAGACCTTGGCATATATGACAAGATAATATTAAAACAGATGTTATTGAAGCATGATTTCAGGGTGTGGGTTAGATTCATCTGGCTAAGGACTAGGACCAGTTATGGGCTCTTGTGAACATGGTAAAGAACCTTTCAGATGCTGAGTGTCCTGATTATTAACTTGTCAAGAATTACTCCGCTCCATGCATTTAGTTACCTTCCAGTTGCTGACAGCACCTTTGCGCTGTTTAGCCCGTGTCTTACTCTTGCTCTTAATAACCATGACCCCCCTCTGTTCAGTATTGGGGTCATCTCCAGCACCCAGTGAGATGCTGTACTCTTGTAGGTAATGATGCGCATCTGCCTGGTTCACAGCTCTTTCCAAACTTACAACAATCTTTGCCCACTGAAAAATTAATGTAACCCGTTATCATCAACACTACGCTAAATGTCAGACAAGTTGGTAAATCACAGCTGAACTGAAGCTCAGTGTGCTCAGTTGGATTCTCTTTCGCTATCGCACAAAGTTTTAAAATTATACATGTGATGATGGACATAAGAAAGATAATAGTGACATATTATTTTGCATGAGGAAATTTCAGCGGAATAAACACACGCTAATAAACAACAACAGCAATGACATTAATGAAAATTTATGCAATTAATTGTTGACACAGTCGGTTGTACAATGTTGTTATCTTTACAATACATGAGAAGTTTACGTTAAAGAAACTGTATAAATCTAAGCACATTACATGCCTACTACAAAAACTTAAGTACAATAAAAACTTACCTGTTTCATCCACTCCTTCTCACTCTGTTCGATGACATGAGCGTACGTATTGCCCATCATGGCAATCAACATGTTTAATAGCAGAATTGGTACAAGAATCATAAAAATTGTGAAGACTGTCTTTGCTAAAGTTGGATACGATGTGAGACTCAACTCTGAATACTGAAAAAAGATATGTCTGTCATACAAGAAACCTCAGTTTTACATTAGGGTATAAATATACAAGTTAAATTATAGAATTTAAAAACATTCTTGTACATAATGTAATGTTTAAAGTATTCCACTGGAATCCATACTTACATTATAATCACCAAGTGTAATCTGAAACAAAGCCATCCATGTTGAAGAATAAGAATGGTATAGAGATGTTTTAACTCCAGGAAATCCTTTGTACAAGAAGTAGAATGATTGTGAGAAGCCAAATAAAACAATTGAATAGATCATACCGAATGTAAGCATGTCACCAACTATCATAGAATACACCATTGTAACAAATGGCCCAGTCAAGCGAACAGCACTGAAAATTAGAAAATAAAACAAAGTTAATTAATATTCAGGAGCCCGTAGCAATTTCAGCTTCTTGAACAAAGCGCCATACTTAAATACGAAGATGTGCCTTCGACACTGCCCAGTGTCTGTTTCTACAATATTTCAGAGGCTGGCTGTGGCTTCAGATGAAGTAATAAGACTTACTTTATGAGGTTTGGGGTTCTAACTCTGTAGTTTGATATATATACTGACTGGTATTCCATATCCTGTAATTTCGTGTTTCTTGTCTGACAGCCAGCCTCCAAAATTACATGGATAAATTTAAAATAAATACAATGCTCAATGTCCACAGAACAACCCTAAATCACAATACCAGATTATGAAACCTTAGAACTATTATTCAGTTTTAAATGGAGAAATTAATATGTTGTCCACTGATATCTCCGTGTAGTCTTACAGGCTGTAACCAAAACCACCATGTTCACCTCTGTGAGAACTAAAATCTCATAAAACCAACATTTTCATTGTCATTTCAGAGTCTTCTCCAAATTTATGCAGTCTGACATGAATTCCATGTACTAATTAACATGCATTAAATCTCTGACCCTGTGTAATTCCTGACTATGCTTCCAAACACATGTATGATATCTGTAGATGTTGACATTTTTTTGCACAAATCACAGCTGATAAAGTTCTACTGTTTATTCTCTTTATTTTTTTATATGCTATATATTTCACTGCTGTTAACTTTATTATAACTTCCAATAAAATTTTATAACATTTTCATTATCATTTTAGAACCTTTGTGCAATGATTAGACATCTCTAGAGGCTTTGACATTTATATCAGATATCAAAATATTAGCAGAATCCCAGTAGTGTTCATACCTTGATGACCTCACGTGTATCAAATACATGTGTCTAAGTATCACACTTGTGTTCATAAACCAGATCTTCAACTTACCCGGCAAAGAACATGAGCAAAAACCATGAACCAGGAAGTGCAAATACTAAAATTGCTTCCTCAGTTATAACATCTCCAGTTAGTCGAAATGGAATGCATGCCAGAATCAGTAAGTTTGACAGCAGGAAGATGGCTTTATCTGGAGAATGCATCTGTTTAAAGACAGAAGTTTTAAGAAGGTGGTTAGGAACACTTAATACATCTTAAACACATCATAGTCGCGTTGAAAAATCAAACACGACTAAAGCTGATGATAAAACTATTCGGGAGTTGTGGGTTATTGGGACACATCACTTTAAAAATAGGTTAGGTTAGGTTAGTTGTCATTTATTGAAATAAAATATAATAACTTTCAAGTATATGTCATTTATCCACACACATTAACCTAACCTAACCTATTTTTAAAGTGATGTGTCCCAATAACTCACAAATACCAACTATTCACATTTTTATAGCCCATGTGACACTATAAAATGTACAGAAAACATAAAAGGGAATATACATTTGAATTATTCTAGCCAAAACCTTTACAGTCATTAATTGTGGAACATAGTATGCTGAATGTTATTTTATCCATAAGAATCCAAAATATTATCTTCCTCTTCCATTTAGACATTACTATATTTAGATGTCTACATCCTTATTAAGGCAGTAATTTTCAGTTAATGTCTAGCGATGTATAATCTGAACTACGAGTTTACAGTGCAAATGAAATATTGGGTGATGCAAACAATCATTTCTTTCATTTCAGTGATTTTGTCCAAAATATCGTCAAAACATGTAGTTCGGCAACAAAATTAACATTTGTAAAGTAGTTGGAACTGACACATGTAAAAAGTTATTATGACAATAATACCAAGAGTCTACAAATAAATATAATAAAGTTGCATTATTGATAAACAAATTTATCAACAGCTCCTATGTTTCATTTTTATCTTAATTTTATAAGGAGCTATTATAAAAACCATGAGGTTCGTACAGAAAAAAACCCATAAACCTATGTTCTTAAACTCTTCAAACTTCAGTACAAATGACATATCTAAGCATATGAGAAACAGCTTCAATTAATACTATATTACCTTAACAATTGACGAAAAATTTGTAAGAATGTGCAAAACATACCAGCTGTTTACAGAAACTCCAGAAGCCTTGATTCTTAATTTCTTCGCCCTGCTGGACAATGACGTAGCACAGCACACCAATAACAGTCCCAATTTCAAAACCATAGCGAGCCAAGTCATTCCAGTCTGTTCCACCCAAAAGAGGCTTATTACGGTCAACTGGTCTCAAATAAATGGCCATACTGAGCGTAAAGAGATGAAGGAACAATATAGCTAGACGTTTCAGGAACTGATTCTATAAAGAGATAAACCAGAAGAATTAAAGGTACTTGTGGGTTATCGGGACACATCGCTTTAAAAATAGGTTAGGTTAGGTTAGTTGTCATTTATTGAAATAAAATATAATAACTTTCAAGTATATGTCATTTATCCACACACATTAACCTAACATAACATAACTTAACCTAACCTAACCTCTTTTTAAAGCGATGTGTCCCGACAACCAACAAGTACCAAATTAAATATGACATCATTACTTGTGCCCAGTGCTTCATGATAGAAAATTTTAATATTTGCATATACAATTACTTGGTTCAGAAGAATTTAACACTTCCTTAAACTCAGCTACATCCCCAAAATGGATCGATTTTTTTAATAAAAGTGGCATGACATATTCATTTCTGAGTTTTAATTGCCTGAAATCCATTGGAAAATTATTATTTTTTAATAAAACAGGGTATGTGACTAACAGTATGTTGATGTTTGTCTCCTGGGTAGCAACACCTTGCAGACTTGTAGGTAGATGCAATAACAGGTTTCAAGTTCATAAGTTTGTATTTGTAGCTTAACAAGCATCCAGAATATCACTTTCAATTTGTTTAGTATTATACAGTAATTTTTCCAGATTTATGGCGTCTTACAATTCTAGGATGACAAATATTCTAGTTCTCAAATAACCATTACCCTTAAAACATAAGCCATACTCACCCTAGCAAATGTCTTCCACTTTTCTTCCAACAATCGCTGAATAATTCCTCCATCTAACATATCTAAATGCTCCTCTTTTGTTCCATTCAAGATTATGAAAAGTGCTGAATTCCAGTCTGGATACAAAATAGGCAAGAGATAACTTCACCAAGAGACAGATTCAACAGCAATGTTACACGTAATGAAATCTCTGAGACGTTTGTCCATATAAGTCATTGTTCGTAACTCCATTATACGAATTCCACCACCAACATGCACTGCATTGTTCTATGTTTTTGCAAGAAGCAAATTTTGGCTAGGACCATGTTAAGGTTCAAAAAACATTTCATGAAAAATCCTAATTCGCTCACATCTAAAATTTAAAACTTGTGATCAAGAAAAAAGCAAACACACTGTAAAACAAAGTTGGCTGAGTAAATAGCACATCACAAAGTTATCCATTTGGTGAAATGTACTTCTTTTGTATGGGTTTTGTTATAATTCCAACCACATATAATCAGGTTTAAACTAAATAACATTAATAATAATTATACAAGAAAACATAATTATATTATAAGACTCGAGAGGCATTTGCAGCAACCAAATTCAATAATATCTCTCAGGCAACGAGCTACGTCAAAATGGAACAATAGTCCAGCATTTCAGAGGCATTCTCCGTCTCCATCATCAAGTTCTGTTCTGATGTGGCTTGTTGCCTGAGAGATTTTATAGTAATTATTTTAAATATATGCAAAGTACAATTGGTATGATTCAATCCCTTGACACAATATGATGTGTGCGTGTTTCTTACACAAGATTTCTTTAAGTTACTTTAAAGTTATACCCCATATTTGATCTGTGTTGAAACATTCCAGCCCCTTTTCATCCAAACAAGGGTTGAGCATCCATTTATAAGGTGTAAGTACCATCATGGAAGATTCTGTTTGTCCCAATGAATCTGGGTTCATAAGAACGACGGTTGACAGTGTAACACGGACCAGAAACCATGATGCGAGATCGGGGGAATTGATATTCTTCATATTGTCCATACTTTATCATTGGCAGAGGAGAAATAGAAAGATCCACAAATAAATCTGACAGGGGATCAACCCCAAAAACCCTCTGAATAAAAATCTAGTGCCATAACTTAATACCAACTCATTCACTTTATTAGCGCAATTAAGAACATTTCACCGACTTACTGGTTCGTCCATCGGGCAACAAAGTATCCAGTGCATTTAATGGATAGGCTGAACAAGTGATATTACTGTATCGCCAGAATTCTCTTGCACTGAGTTCCAGCATCTCTCGGAAAACCTCGGCTCGACCTAGCTTACAGGCAAGTGTGAGCGGAGTGAGACCTGATAAGTTAACAATTCCATTGCTGGCAGGTAACTTTGGATGACGTAATGCATACCCAAACATATCCTAAAATAACAAGTCAATGACAAATCAGAGCAGTTCTTCGAAACACACACAAAATACAGAATGAGCACAAAAGAACTTTACACTTTCAAAATAATTCAGGAAGAAATGTGACATATATAGAACTCCACACCCACACGAGACCACTATTCATACAGCTATGGTATTTATGTCTGTATTAACCCCAGCGCTCCTGACTTCAACTGCAGTTGTAAATCAGTGCATCAAAATTTACAACATACATAACCTAACTCTCATTACGAGTTCAGATTTTTATCTTAAATTAACATTCGGTATTTGTGGGTTATAGGGACACAAAACGGGAGAGTCGAATATCTGGCCTTGGATTGGACGGAAAACTGTGCATGCTTAACAGTATACCCGTATACTCAGTTGTTGTTGTTATCTGTTAGTTCGTTCAGTTATTGAAATAAAATATAATAACTTTCAAGTATATGTCATTTATCCACACACATTAACCTAACCTAGCCTAGCCTAGCCTAACCTAACCTAACCTAACGTAACCAAACCTAACATAAGCTAACCTAAACTAACCATACCAAACCTAACCCAACCTAACCTAAATAACATTCTTTTAGTCAAGTAGTGAAAAAATAATGGAAGAGAGTAAGGGTTAAAACTTTTAACACGTGGGAATTCATCTGTGCGTACCAACTTGTCACAGACAACCACCATGTGTAGGATCATGTTCCCAAACGAGTCCTGAGCATCAGGACTTGCACCCGAGTCAAGAAGAAGATTATAAACACTTTCATTGGAACAACACGCAGCCCAAGCCAATGGAAACTCTCCTAGATACGCCAAACCTTCATAATCTGTATGTTTACTAGGTCTTGACCTTTGTTGATCCCTCGGTAGAAAGAAGCTACCTGTATTGCGAACAAAATAAACCAACAATTAATTACAATATTACCATTTCGTATGAACATACTTCAACAAGTTCATTTGCTTCATTCAACAAAAATAGAGCCAATATTCTGTATAACTGTCTGTAATGATGCAAGACTCCTGATTATCCAGGTTGACTGGGAAATATATTTTCTCGGATAATCCACAAAAGTGCAAATGTAACAGATACATAAGCTTATTTGCAGTCATACGCTACTTAAATTTTTAAATATTTACTTCTAACACAGACAAATTCTATATAAATATAATACAGTACTGAGAAATTACCGTAATAAGGTTAATAAATGAAAGTATACCGAGTGTCATAAGCTTTAGGATTTAACAACAACTCATTTATGTTAATACATTAAATATTATGTTATTGTAAGATTTGAGGTTTTCACAGCGGTCAGTATGAAGATTTCTGTCTTCTGGGTTGTTGCGCCGTGTAGTCTGGTCGATGTTATGTATGCCCTCTGAAACGTTGGTTAACATCAACAAGACTACAAAGCGCAACAAACCAGAAGACAGAAATCTTATTATTATGTCATTGTCGTATTTATTCCTTTCTTTTTAACCCTTTGAAGCCGAAGATCGTCTTCATAATATTTACGAATCCAGACCGTACCGCGAAGAAAACACTTCACCTAACCATTATAAGTCGAATCAGGCGGTACCACATAAGATTTAACAAAAGAACATCCCGGTCAAAGCCTTAAACATTCCATTTACATACACAGTGAATTCCGGTTAATTGCGACACACAATTAAGCGGCTACCCCGATTATGCAAAGTTCCACGTAAAGAATTAAAAAGGTTTGTTCTTTAAGATTGGGGTCCGCAGTGGCCGCGCGGGC